CTGTTTTCCACCTCAAAATTGGTGTGTGGCTTACTGCCAGAAGAAGAAATTTGCACATATGTGGAGGGGGAGGGTGGAACCTGAAAAATTACTTTAATAAAATGTCACTAAACCAGCTTATGCTCATCATTTTCTTTGGCCGGAATTAATAAGTAGAAGCACTTTGAGTTATACTGGTCTGACAATGGGATAGAAGGGAGAGGAAAAGCAGAATTTGGGGGTTTGGCAGAAAAATTGCTATTTCTTCATAGATAATGGCTGTTTTTAGACTTAAAAGATACATGCATTGTGATTCTGGTTACTTTAAGTATTTTTATGTCAGGCCTCAAATAATGGAAATGGATAATGTGCATAAAAACTCAGGGTTTTTTTGAACCAATGTCCAGGTGTTTTGAGCAATGTACTGGTTTTTATAATGACATTTTCCCTCCCCAGGACTTTCCCGTTTGTGTAACACCAGAGCGGTACTGGAGCACATGATCGGATTTCAGTTTTCTTGTGATTGGTTTTGGATCTGATAGAGCCTCATGTGCAACCTTTCAGAGTAATTGCCAGTTGACTTGGGCTGGTAAGTGGGCTCTCTGATTTCAAGGGCAACATCATGGAGAGGGGAAAAAAGCACATGCACACTCTTGAGACAGCACATCTTAGTTCGAGGTTGGTGTTTTAGAGCATATCTTGAAGAAGGTTTCACCCTTTGTGTGCATGCCTAGAAATCTCTGTGCTTCTAGCTTTTTTTGTTTTAATAGTTCAGGAGAGAGTGCTTTGACTTCCAAATAAAGACTAATTACTAGAGGAAACAATGAAAACAGGTAGATACAATAAGCTGAGTTTCTGCTCCTGAAGCTCGTGTTCAAGATGAACAGAACCATTAGGGCAGGAAGGACCTCTGGAGAGCATTTAGTCTTGCTCCTTGCTGGAAGCACCACTGTCTTTCAAGTTGGATCCAGTTGCTCAGGCCATGTCCAGGTGAGTATCTCCAAGAACAGTGATTCTGCAGCCTTTGAAAATCCATTTCAATCCTTAACCCACACTCGCTGCATCTTTTTTCTTCAGTCAGAATTCCCATTGCCGTAGCTTATGTCTGTTGCCTCTTTTGCTGTACGTGGCTGAAGAGAGTCTGTCTTCTCTGCAGCCACCCATTGGGTGGCTGAAGTCAGCAGTTGGGTTCCTCCCACCTTTAACATTCTCCAGGCTGAACAAATGCCGTGCTCTCATCCTTTCTCATGCACCATGTGCTCCGTCCTCTCACCATCGTAGTGTCCCCTCACTGTCTGTCTCATCCTGGGGAGCCCAAAGGTGACACTACTCCAGATGTGGCTTTACATAAGCTGAACAGAGGAGCACAAATAATCACTTCTGTTGACCTGCTTCCTCTTTCCTGTAGAGCCTGGTATGTGGGTAGCCTTCTGTGCTGCAAGGGCCCTTCATCTTCTGGTCCACCTGGATTCCTGGGCCTTTTCCATCCAAGGTGCCTTCCATCCAGTGGGCATCTGGCCACCACAGAGTTGTTCTGCTCCTGGTGGAGGATTTCATTGTGTTTGCAATCAGCCCATTAGTCCAGCTGTTAGCAGCTGGACTTTGAGCCATGGCCACCAGCACCACCCCTGCACCCTGCTGAGGGAAGGGGAGGTGACTGCAGGCTGAGGCGTCATTAGGGACTGCTTGAAAAACCCAGTACAGGAAGCTGAAAGGAGACTCTGGGGAGCAATTTGGTAGTTACTTCAGCAGCATTAATTGGAGAAAGAAATCACATTCAAATAAAATACTGAGAACCTATTCAGTTCAATATAACCTCTATCTTAAATGTTAAATCTAAATCCTGCCATCATCTAGATGTTTTTTTCCTTTTAAAAATTATTCCATTCGCCTGTCAGAGAACCCAAGGAACTGGCAATCTTATTTACATAAATTTCATTTACGAAGGGGTGGTTTCACAGGCTGGCATACTGAATGAGAGCATAATCTCCATCTTTTGAGGCCTTGATCACTGACTGAGCATTTTATTGCTTTGTATATTAGGAATATTTTTGTGAAGATAACAAAACGTATGCTGTGACCGGTACAATTGTTATGATTTCCAAGATACCCTGTGATAACAGTGGCAATAAAAGCTCTTCTGATGCAGCACTCAGACTGAAAGCTCTATGTGCATAACTGCAGAAGCTGCAGTAGTTCATCAGCTACCAGAATGAATCTTGCAGGGATTTTAAGCTGTTGAGAATGACCAAAATAAACACAAATTTTGACTTGCCACTCTTGACTTTTCTCTCAGAAGCTGGGTGATGGGAGTCTTTATGCAAGTGAGGTAGGACAAGGCATGGAGGGAGGCCTCACCTCATCGCCTTGAAGCAGCAATTAGATGGGGCAAGGTGTCACCTGGGGGGCTGGGGACAGTTTCTGAGGTGCAGCTGGGGCTGTGGGGGGCAGGTAGGCTGTAGGGGGCCTTGAAGCTGCTATTGAGTGGTGTGGGACTCATGAAGGAGCAACAAGCAGTGCCCTGCCATAAACCAAACAGGCTTGGCTTGGCTTTCTGCTGCACTGGGAGCACTTAATAAGTCACTACAGAAGTGACCACAGCTGAAAGGCCACTTACTTGCAGCTTTTTCTTCTCAGTTGTAGGTAAGAAAAGGTTTTCTATAATACAGGGCTGAAAGTGTGAGGTTCCAGCTCTTTTGCTCTTCAGTGGTGATGGCTCAAAGGGTTTGGACTACTAAAGCATCTTTTAGCAGATTTTTTTGCTCTCCCTTTCCTTTAAAGTCAGGTTTATCTAATGTAAAACTCACTCTGTTTTGAGAACAGAGGGGTAAAATTTGTTTCAAGTGCATAGTCTCCATCTGCTCCATGTTCTCAGCCTTGGGAACTACTGAAAGGCACACAGTGGAAATGCATTAAACAGAGCTGACCATCTAAGAAGCCTTGTATGAAACCTTTAAATCTGTGTTCCCTTCCTTTTACACTTAACTCACCTGTTTACTTTTTCTGGCTTGAAGGAAATGAGGGGGAAAAAGGAGGAGGAAAGGATTTGTTAGCTCTCTCATTCAAAAAACCCAACGTCTTCCTAGCATTTACAGCTCAGTTAACAGCAGAAAAAGCTTTAATGAAGCATGTGGTTAATCAAGCTATGGAAGAGTGCAGCATTCTCCCTAACATTGCTGGTCTTCAGCACCAGTGGATTTATGTGGCCCAAATGCTTCAAAGGTGCTGCTGCGGCTGGGCTTTGAACCCCTTCCCTGCTGAGGAGGCGTCCCAGGAGGAAGGTGCCCTGGGCAGCTCCATGACTGCAAGGCACCAGCAGATAATGGTGGCTGCTCCTTGTCGCTCCCAATAACCAACAAGAAGGGCACCAACTTTCTGGGAACTGTGCAGCAGAAGGGCAACACTTAAAACAGGGATATAAGTGACAATGCATGTGGATTACAGGGATTTGTTTTGTGTCTCCACCTGATGTGTTTTTTTTTTTAAGGAGGAATTAAGGAGTAGGGATTGGAACGGCAAACTGCTACTTATGTCTTGTATGCTTAAAGGTTTGTGCTGGAAAATCTGGCCTCTGTCAGGACACTTCTCATCCAAATATGAGGCAAAAAAAAAATAAATCAAGCTCAATGTGCTGAATTTTTAGCTGTTGACATTATTTACTGTGCTCTTAACAAACGGTGCCCTAAGGAGAATGAGAATAATGTGCTCCAGCAGCAAAATATGCATAATAAAGAAGCAATTGCCTAGGGTTTCCTGGAATTTCTTACTCCATGCTCTCTACCTCCCTATTCCTTCATTGTTTAAAGCTAATGTCTATTTCAGTTCTGCCATGCAAATATTCAGAAAGACTCCCTGCACCAAAGGAGAGGAAACAAAATACATTCAAATCACTGCTTCAGTGGCATAAGTTGTGTCTTGGTTTACCAGAGACTTGGGTATGTTCTTTAGTTGGCTCTGTCCCTCTGCTGTTGTTGCTTGTTGACTCGTGCTGAAGTCTTTTATGTGGCATGGCTTGTGAGCGTTTTTGTTTCGTGGTTTGTTTTTTTCTTCCTTCACTGTTCAATCAACTCTGACTGCTAATCAGAATGTTGCTGGGTAAACAGGACTGATTAAAATTAAAATTTTAATTCTGTGTTGTAAACAATATGGCACTTTAATGTTTATACTTTTATTAAAGATACTAATAATAATGCATCTAGTGTTTTGTGGTACAGTTTTCATATTTATTTCTTGAAGTGCTGACAAGTTTTGCTAAAGAGCTCCACATTCAGATGCCAGGATTTTGTATTCCATCTATTCCCTTTGTCAAGGGTGACTGTACTTAATGATATTGGATATGAATACCCTATTTTTTCTCTGTGGTTTTAAATCTCATGGGGAAGAAATGTTTCTGTGACAACTGGGGATGTTACACTGTAAGAAACAGATGTATCATGAACGCCTTAGTCTATATGCATTTACTCATTGCTCTTAATATTATCTATCTTCTAGAGGAGAAAAAACAGAAGCTACTTAGGTGTAGAAACACCTTGAAAGAGTGATGGCTGGTGCTTGGACGCTTGCCCTGAGGAAAGGGACAAGGCAGACTAGAAAGTCCTTGACAGCAAAACAATGTTGTGATGGGATGTTGAAGTCTGAGGATGAAAGGAAGAGAGCAAAGGAAGCGCATGTTTGCGCAAGAGGTCTGTCACCTACCAGGCCCTATGAGGCCAAAGGAAGCTGCCTGGAAACAGAGACAGAAAGAACTTGCCTGTAATTTGGACAAAAAACTGAA